TGTCCTCAAGGAAAATAAAGCCCCTTTCCCTTTCGCCTTCTGCCTGTTTCTGTGCTGTGCCAGGTGCCTAAAACAAACCTAGCGATTAGCAAGGTTGTGGGTGGACTGCGCATACACTTTACTGTCCTTTTAAGGAGTGTCCTTTGGCATTATTGGTATCATTGTGTTGCTTGCTAAACATAAGGGATTTGCAACAAATTTCTTAGAGAAAACATGCCTTGAAAAATGGAAGCCATTTATTTAATAGTATGAATTGTGTTTCAGGCTATTCCCTCCTTTGAGTTTGCTTTCCAAGATGAGCGGATCTCTCTTACCATTGTGGATGCTGTCATCAGTCCCCCCACCGTTCCCAAAGGGACCATCTGCAAAGAGCTCAGTGTTTATCCGGCCGAATGCCGAGGCCGGAAGAGTACCTACCGGGGGAGGCTGACGGTGAGTATTAGTGGCATCGTGTGGCTCTTCGCATGTTTCTGCCAAAGAAGTTTTATGCCGGACTTTTGCTTTCTCAGTGCTGTTGTCTTCTGAATCTGCAACATGAGATTTAATTATAATTTTCTCTTTTTCTCACTGAGAGCTTTCCTTTGTCTTCACAGATTCAGGTATTTATTTTTTTCTCCTATTTCACGTAGGTTGATATCAGCTGGTCAGTGAATGGAATTTCAAAAGGAATCATTAAGCAGTTTCTTGGCCACGTTCCCATCATGGTGAAGTCCAGGCTTTGCAACTTGTACAACCTTCCTCCAAAAGCACTCATTGAGCACCACGAGGAGGCTGAGGTGACCGCCGGGGCTGGGCTGTGTGACGCTAGTGAAGGCCTGTCTTGGGAATGTATAGACAGGACCTTCTCCAGGGGAGCACGTTTTCTGTCTCTGCTCCAGGCTCCAATTTCTAGATAAGTGGGGCATTAACATCCTGTCTGAACGCTGTGGAAGGCTCTAGGTGACTGTGAGCTACATCAGTATGAAAAGGCCCTATGGTTAGTGAATATTCTTGTTCGGAGGAAGAACTAGGAGGTTTGCCCCTACTTTTCTGAACTGTTTTTAAAAGCTGTCTTAACCTGCAAAGTAGTGTTTATAGGGATGCCTGCTTGAACTACAGTAAGGGTGTGCCCGCATGCTTGGTGACTGATACACTGTCCTCATCATTTCTTTTAACTGTCTCGGGTGGCCCAGCTGTGTGGAGTTGAAGTAATCCCAACATCTGCTCTGCCTGTAGTAAGGGCACTGCGTTGTATGCTGGGAAGGAGGAGAAAAAGAAGCCTTGTGGGCTCGGGGAGATCGCTTAGTGGCATAAGCACTTACCTGGCAAGTGCGGGGTCCTGAGTTTGACCCCCAGTACGAAAAAATATGGTGGAAAGAGGGTTTCTGATGTCAGCTCTTGGTCTGCTGTCCAGCTTGTCCACTTGCCAATTTTGTTGCTTTGGAAAGTTTAATCTCCTGAGCCTCAGTTTCCTCTACTGAAAATGGATATAATAGCTTCCTATTCATTATTGTGAGGGTTAACTATTAATTAAAGCAGCTAGCATGTGTTTGTTTAGTGGTAGCTTTTTATTGCAGAAGTATGTATTTTTTTCTTTTGGAGACAGGGTCTCACTGTGCAGTTCAGGCTGGCCTGGAGTTCACTTTTTAGCTCAAGCAGGTCTCGAACTCACAGTGTTCCTCCTGCCCAGCCTTCTGAGTGCTGGGATTACAGGTGTGCACCACCATGCCTGGTAGAATTGATATTGACCGGAGCTATTGAAAGTCTTTTCTTGAAAATATTTTCAAGAACATAGCTAACCATGTTTCTAGTTTCCAGTTTTCATACAACCAGCTTTGTTTTACGTATTTGGTAAACCATATGGAAGCAAAATGGTCCCATTCTTCTCTTTAGACATCTCTTTGGAGTTGTGTTTTTGGTTTTTTTTTTATTATTATTATTTGAAGATTGCAGTCATTTTAGGAGAACAGAAAGACCAGTTAGGTTGTACCTGTCTGGTAGAGGCCGGTGCCCCGTTTTCTTTTCGTGCTGTCTCCCTCAGACCTTTCTGACATCCTCAAGAAGACTGCTGCTCTTGCATCTTTACTCTTTTCAGAGTCCCCAGCTCCTTTCACCAGTGTATTCCCTTCTGAGTGGTCCACCCATTTTGAAAAAAGGTTCTTGCTTACAGTCAGTCATGTGCCTGTGTTTAACAAGTTATAATTTATCTCTTTGGCAGGAAATGGGAGGATATTTTATAATCAATGGCATTGAAAAGGTCATCCGAATGCTAATTATGCCTCGGAGGAATTTCCCCATTGCGTTGGTAAGACCAAAGTGGAAAAGCAGAGGGCCTGGCTATACTCAGTTTGGTAAGTTTAGTGATCATTGGAATGTTCTTTTACAAAAGCTTAAATTTTTTTTTTTTTAAAGAGTAAGTGCATCAGAACTGGGCATGGTGACACATACCTATAATCCCAGCACTGGGGAGGTTGAGGCAGGAGGATCATTGTGAGTTCGAGCCTATCTTGGGCTATAAAGTGAGTTCAAAGCCAGCCTGAACTGCATAGCGAGACCCTGTCTGAAAAAGAAAAGAAAAAGGCAAAGATACATATTTCCCAGATGTGGTAGTGTATACACCTGTAATCCCAGCAATTTAGAGACCTACAGACCGAGGCAGAAAGATCATTGTGAATTCAAAGCCAGCAAGTGCTACATGCTGAGTTCAAAGCCAGCCTGACCTACATAGTGAGACCGTGTCTCAGAAAACTAAATACAAAAAATAATGCTAATAAAAAAATTTAAAATGAGACTGGGCATGGTTGCTTTGGGAGGCTGAAAACAGGAGGATCACTACGAGTTCAATCTGTGTAGTAAGACCTTGTACTAATTACATTAAAAAAAAAAAAATTTAGGGGCTGGGGAGAATAAGAATATAGCTCAGTAGAGTAAGTGCCTGCCTGGCAAGCACAGGGTCCTGAGTTCAATCCCCAGTACCGCAAAAAAAAAAAAAAAAAAAAAAAAAAAAAAAATTAAAAGGTACATCTTTATAGATATCTTTAACATTTTTCTCTTATATAATTTTTATTTTGCTATTAGTTATTTGGGTTAAGATTCATACTGAAAAATTCTTAAGGGAGGTAGAGGAAGAAATGGAGAGATTGATCAAAGGGAACAAATTTTAGTTATGAGTTAAGTTATAGTATAGTTACTATAGTTGATATTGTTTTGTTTATTTGACATTTAGTAAGGCAGATTTTAAATGTTCTGACTCCAGCAGGTGAGTGTTTGTACGCACACAGATGGTAACTGGGGTGGTGACTGATGTTTTAGGTAATTTAATTATGGTAATCATTACACGCTGTACGGAAACTCCTCAGTTCATGGCATCATACACTGACAAAGCCGTCCTTAGCTGGAAATACATTCATTGAAGTGCACTTAATGTACTGAGCATATGGTGTGGCCTAACCTACCTTAAACACGCGCAGAGCACTTAGATTGGTCCATAGTCAGGCGTAATGAGCTAACACTCTGATTGTTGTCACATTATATCATTTAGAAAAATGGTGTCTCAAGCCAGGCATGGTGGTGCCTAACTTTAATCCCAGCGCAATGGGAGGCTGAGTCAGGAGGATCCAGGTTCAAGCCCATCCTAGGCAACTTAATGATGCTGTCTCAAAATTAAAAACAAAATGCCACGAATGTCGCTCAGTGCCAAAGCCCAGAGTATCATCCCGTCTTTCAAAATAAACTTTTGGTCTTTGAGCTTGCCAGCATGTCTAGGCGTTTATTCGCTGGTTTGAGTTGATGTAACACATCGTAGCAGTCTTTGCCTGAAGCTGAGATAACCTAAAACTCTGGAGTTCTGCTTTCCTTATTAGCGTTGTTGGGTCAAGCCACCGCGTCTTGATCAGACGCCACCAAGTGGTAGGGACAGCCCTGCGCTGTGGGTGCCTGGAATATGCAGTACTGTGCAAGACATGGACACGGTGCTGGAGGGAGCCTCGGAAGCCCAGATAGAGGCGTGGCTTCGGTTACTTGATAGCAGATGTCACAACCTGGGGACATACTTGCTTCCCAGGGTGCATTTTTTATTAAGCATAGTGATTTAGCTTTAATTATGTCTAAGAATAATATAATTCAGAAAAATATAACAGTTGAAGCATCTGCCGTATTACAAGCTTATGATTTTTGTTTGTTCAATAGGGATCTCCATCCACTGCGTGAGGGGAGAGCATTCTGCTGTCAATATGAACCTTCACTACTTGGAAAATGGCACCGTTATGTTAAACTTCATTTACCGGAAGGAACTGTTTTTTCTTCCTTTGGGGTTTGCACTTAAGGTATGACTCAGCGAATGCATTTCTTTCTTTCTTTTTTAAAATTTTATGTATTTATTTGGTACACAGTCTCGCTACACAGTTCAGACTTGTAGTGATTCTCCTGTTTCAGCCTCCTCAGTGCTGGGATTACAGGCGAGCGCCACCACTCCTGGTTTCAGGGCAGCACAGTGAGCTGGAGTTCTCGGGCCAGCACTGCATGTAGTGGCGGGGATTGAACCCAGGTCTTTTTTGTTTGCCAGGCAGGCACTTAGGCCGCGGAGCTATCTCCCCAGCCCCTCCATTTCTTTTGTCGTGAGAGGATTCCCTGGGGGTTATATCCTGTGTACCCTGGATCGGTTCTTTTGTTTAAGAGCATGTTCTTCCAGTTAGCTACTGCTCCGCAACACATCGCTCCAAGACTCAGCAGCTTCCAGCATCAGTGAACATTCCTCTGAGTTCCCGTGGCTCGGGGCCTTGAGCATGGATGGCCTGGCTGGGTCTCAGGAAGTCGCGATGAGATGTCAGTAGGCACTGTGATCACTTTAAAGATTTTTTGGGGGCAGGGGAGGGTACCAAGGATAGAACTCAGGACCTGGCGCTTGCCAGGCAGGGTTTATGCTGCTTAGCTACCCCTGGGCCACCTTAAAGGTTTGGCCAGGGCTGGAGGGTCTGCTTCCCAGCGGTTTGCTCACTTGGCTGGTGAGTCGGTGCTGGCTCTGATCAGGCCCAGCTCCTCTCAGCCACGTTCCCTTGCGTGCGCCATAGCAGGCTTTGTGCCATCAAGAGCTCTGAAGTTCACCACCACTGCTCTAGACAGCAGCCAAGAGAGCAAGGCAGGAGCCAAAGTGTCCTTCGCAGCCCATCCTGGAGAGGCTCTTCTCCTGTCTCGATGATTTTCTTGGTCATGCAAACAAACCCCAACTGAGTGTGGCTCCCCAGGACTGTCTCGCTACATGGGTATCTCATGAGGAAATCTTTGTTTTGGAGAGTTCAATTCAGCAGTAGTGTGGAGCTTTGTTTTTGTTTTTTTGTTTTTTTTTTTTTTTGAGTATTAAAAATATTAGAGGAGAGAATTGTAACTAAGTATTTTAGTCATTGGTGAATGATTTACAAAACTTTTTTTTTTTTTTTTTTTTAGGCACTGGTCAGCTTTTCTGATTATCAGATTTTTCAGGAGCTCATCAAGGGAAAAGAGGAAGACTCTTTCTTTAGGAACTCTGTTTCTCAGATGCTAAGGATTGTGATGGAAGAGGGCTGTTCCACACAGAAGCAGGTCCTTAACTACCTGGGCGAGTGCTTCAGAGTGAAGCTCAGCCTTCCTGACTGGTACTCGAATGAGCAAGCTTCGGAGTTCCTGTTTAAGTACGCGTCTTGGCCTGAGTGGGGGGTGGGGGTGGGAGCTTGGGGAGGGATGTCGTGGACTGCAGTGCCTGCTCAGGAGTCATCAGAGTGGCCCTGGGGCAGAATTCTGGTCCTGGCCAGTTAGAACCAGCTTTCTCTCGATGGCTAGCCTTACTCTTCTCTCTTCTTACCATGACTTTCTTCCCTTTTTCTTGTACTTTTTATTTTGAGATAATTACTCATTTGGACATTGCTGAGCAGTGTCACATAGTACTTTAGACACCTAGTCATTAGTGTAGCTCGTCATTTACTTAGTGGCTTTGGCTGCACATAGATAGGCACTTTTCTTTTTGTCATAGGCACCATGTTGCCTTGTTCCCCCACAGTGGGACTTTGTGACATGGAAAGGAGCCTGGCTGGAGGCCAGTGCCATCCACTGTGAAGCTACACAGCGCATACTGGCCGCCTGAGCCATGGCCAGGGCAGCTGTATTCGTATTTCAATTAATCACATGGCCACATTGGCCAGCATAGCTCTAGACTTCGTAATGGTCTTTGGTCCTTTGGCTAATGTTGCTGGTAAAGATGAAGAGTGTCTTTTTTTTGTAGTAAGAACTTTTTATTTTAAAGTAAATGTGAACCAGGTCCTCGGTCAGTAGGACTTTAAATGGGGTTAGCAACTGATATGTTTCAAGCTTCTTCCTCTGTTTTACAGCCAGTGCATCTGCATCCACCTGAAATCCAATACTGAGAAATTTTACCTGCTTTGTTTTATGACCCGGAAGCTCTTTGCTTTAGCTAAAGGAGAGTGTATGGAGGAGAATCCTGATAGCTTAGTGAATCAAGAAATCCTCACTCCTGGTCAGCTGTTCCTCATGTTTCTGAAGGTAGATGCGTGCTGCTTCCCCCTGTACCATCTGTCTCCTGGAGTAGTGTGGCCACAGCTCGCCCCCCTGTGTTCGGCATGTTTATCATGTGTGGTTGTGGCATTTTGCATAGCCTGTGTAACCATAAGGGACTGGATAAAAAATCCTAGCTTACACCCGGTGCAGTAATTTAATATTTTTATTTTTGGTGCTAGGAATGAACCCAGGGTCTTTGCATTGAGCTATCATCACCAGCCCTTTTTTATTTAATTTTTAAATTTTGAGATAGGGTCTCACCAGGTTACCTGGGCTGGGCTCTTGCCTGAGTCTCCCAGAGTGCTGGGGTTTCAGGTATGTGCAACTATGCCTACATGTTTAAAATTTTAAGATAGCCTCAAGGTAACAGCAAATCCTGGTCATAACATCAATAATAAATAGCCCATATGCTAAAATTTATAGCATTTATTTGCAGTCAGCACTTTCTTAGCCATTCACAGACCTGGGCAGAGCAGTGAAACTTTCTGGTCTGATTCATGCATGTTCCTACGTGAGGTCAAACAAGGTCACATTGGCTTTCTTCAGCTATTGTATACAAGCAAGGGTCCCTTTTGACTTAGCATTATATTTTTCTCCCACCATTTTGCGTTTTTTTGCCATTTAAACGACCCCCAAGCACAGCGCTGGAGTGTTGCCTAGGGTTTCCAAATGCAGAACGCTGTTCTTTCCCTGAGTGCAGTATAGGGAGCAGCACTGTATGTCAAATCAGGTTCCTTTGAGCAGAATCACATGAAACAGCGTGTTACATATTGATCGGTTGTCGAGCAATCTGAGCAGGGACTTGCAGAACTGAGCCCTGTGTTCCCCTAGGAGCGATGGCTCAGTCCTCACTAAGTTGGTGTTTACAGTGACAGCATAGAACATGACCCCTGGGAGCTGTGAGAACTGACTGCACTGGCGCACGGATCGTGCAGAGGCGCTAGCCGGCTGTACCAGTGATTTCATAAGGACATTGAAGGCTGCAGGCATGTTATATTTTGCACATGATCTCCAAAAGACTTACTCTAAGAGGTCATGTAGTTGGACAGGGATGGAGAGGACTAAAGCCTTTACAAATCTAATTTCCTGGGCTGGTGAGATGGCTCAGTGGTCTAAAGCGCCTACTTAGAACAAGCTTAGCAAAAACAAAGGGACCGCAGTTCAATCCCCCAGCACCACATGCCAGCCAGCCTCGCCCCCGGTGGGCTGAGCTGGCCACACAAATAAATAAATAAATAAATAAATAAATAAATAAAAATTTAAAAAAAAAAAATCTAATTTCCTGTCTAGTCATTGTTATTTAAATTCTCCCTAAAAGGTAAGATTTTTGTTTTGTTGTTTCTATCTGCTCTGTCCATAAAATTTAAATTGAGAAATTTCAATACAAATTCAAGTTGGGCAGCAAAGGTATCTGTAGTGTTTCCCATAAAGGCCAGCGTGCATCTCCCAGCTCTGCCCTTGCACTGAAGCATGAGGGCCGTGGTGCCACCCCGTTAGGAGTGTGTCTTCAAGAGTAAGCCATTAAGGTGCTTGCTCTGTGTTGGCAACAGGGAAACTGTGAAAAAGGAAACCGCTTGAGGGAGAGTCCATTGCTTAAGAGTATCTCAGTTCCTGACCTTTCACCAACCATATTTAAGCTCCCCAATCTGAATTTGAGACATGAAGACAGTCTTCAGAATGTAATGCGACAGTGACAGAAAATGGATCTCACACTACTTTTGCCATTTCACTGAACGTTGGCGGAAGGCACGTGACATCTGGTGCGATCAAGTGATTGTACTGGGGCTATCACACTGCTGTCCCTTGTGTTCTTCACTGGCAGATAATGAAGAAGCAGCTCACTCTGTCTGTGGCATCTCCCCCTTCTGCCATAGGCCTGGGAGACCACAGCAGCAGTCCCTGTAGTGTTCTCAGGAAGAAAGCAACCTAGAGCTCAAAGTGTCCACGCCAGATTCAACCATGACTGCTGACCAACCAGTGAGAGAGCCTGGCACTATGGATAGGAGCCAGGGGCACTGCTGAGCATCCTAAATTCATGTAGTGCTGCCCCTCACACAAAGAACTCTCCAGCCTCCATGTTCACACTGCTGAATTACGAAGCCATGACTCACAGTAGTTTGTGTCTTGTGTTTTAAATAATGCCTGGTCTCATGCAGAACATAGTACACGTGCCTGTGATCCCAGCACTCTAGGAGGCCGAGGAAGGAAGATTGGAAGTTTTGAGCCCAGCCTAGGCAATTCAGCGAGATCCTGTCTCAAAATACAAAGTAGAAAGATGCTGGGGATGTGAGTCAGTGCACATGTTCAACTCATAATGAAAAAGACAAAGAAATACCCGGCCTCTAGTAGTGCACTGAAAAGTTGTTTCCCAGTATGCACATCAAGTGTATGAGTGGTCCACTGTTACGGATTGTACAGATTATGTGAGTAAATGTGCAACTTGTGGCAGTTAAAACATTGATAAAATTTTTCTTTTCAGGAGAAAATGGAAGCTTGGTTAGTGTCTGTCAAAATAGCATTAGATAAGAGGGCTCAGAAGACCAACGTGTCCATGAACACCGAAAACTTGATGAAGATTTTTAGCATGGGAGGAGACCTGACAAGGCCTTTTGAATATCTTCTTGCTACTGGGAATTTGCGTTCAAAAACAGGTAAAATTTAATAGGCTTTGCCTCATAATATTTTGCAGGTTATTTGCATAATGTAGATTTGTGTGTCACCATGGGAAACCGCCCCCTTCATGTTATAGTTTGATAAATGTCTGTTGGCCTATGTGACTTAAATCTAATTCTAATGACCAAATACACTTCTTTGCCTCCAGGAACACTACAGACCATTTAGGTGTCTGAGGAAGGCTTACTAGCGGAAGGTCTGCAAAGGTCGTTATGCATAGCCATCCCCAAGCTATGTGAATGATCTGCGAAGCTTAAAAAGTAGTAGTTGGGATACAGGGAGAAAAAAAAAAACACCTTTTTTTCTTTATTTTTTAATATATGTTCTACTGACACAGATTCTTTTGTTAGTTTGCTAACAGATGCTTGTACAGAGGACGAAGAGTGGTAGGACGTAGGCTGCCAGTTGGAGTGAATACAGTAAACCTGAGGGTTTAAGAATTATTTTCTGTAAACTTCCCGTTCGTCAGAACTCACAGAGTCACCGTGTAGTAACCCAGTTTGTGATCTCTAGAGTGCGCTGAGGTTTTGGCAGTTCCAAAGCCCGAGAAGTGAACTTCTTAAAAGTTGACCTGTTACTGAATGACTTTTGTTTTATTAAGGTCTTGGCTTCATGCAGGATTCTGGACTCTGTGTTGTGGCCGACAAGCTGAACTTCATTCGCTACCTCTCCCACTTCCGCTGTGTGCACAGAGGAGGTGATTTTGCCAAGATGAGGACCACCACGGTGCGCAGGCTGCTGCCAGAGTCCTGGGGCTTCCTCTGTCCTGTGAACACCCCGGACGGGGCACCCTGTGGTCTGATGAACCACCTAACTGCCATCTGTGAGGTCGTCACGCAGTTTGCATACACAACAGCTATCCCAGCCTTGCTCTGCAGCTTGGGTAAGTGGCACTCACCCGTAGGCAGCCCTCTCTGGTTTTCTGGGTTTAAGAGCAGCAAACCATGGAGTCACGTTCTTGTGGGGATTCGTTAGAGAATTCTTACAAGAATTCTTTTTCACTGTGTAGGAGCTGGGCTATTTTCAGTAGATCAGGAGCAATTAATGGTAAAAATTTAGAAGTTATTGTGCGACCTCTTGTATACCCTTGCATCTCTTAAGTAGACACAGGGCCTGAGTTCAATCCCCAGTTCTGCCAAAAAAAGAAAAAAGAAAAGTTGGTTTGCAGAAAGATGGTTCATTTTTTTTATCCTGGGAACTGAACTCAGGACCTTGCGCTTGCCAGCCAGGCACTGTGCTGCTGAGCTATGTCCCTGGCCCCAGGAAGACAGTTGAAAAGGAGATTGTCTGGTACAATGGTTCCTCTGTTCACAAGCTTGATTCTCTGAATGATTTTTGCCTCAGACAAATCAAATTTTCCCATAAGGTCAACACTGAACCTGATCATTGAATTTGACTTTGTTCTCATCCAACTCAGTTTGCAACCAGAATCATGGAAAGAAGTTTCATGAACTGAGGAACCGCTGTACAGCCTGATGTCATAGGTCTTTCCTCTTGGTAGCCTTGCAACTGTCTCTGCTTTGACTAGGGAGCTGTCCTACTATTCTTGTAGATTGTAGTTACCTTCACTGGTAAAGAGATCAGCCTTTGGGTGTTTTATCATCTTCTCACGCTAGAGTTCTGCTGCTGTTATTTACAAAGCAGAAGTGTGCTGGGCCTTGGTAGTGTGTGGGTGTGGTCTCCAGTAGAATTGAGGTTTATATAGTGTAACTTCCAGTTTGTAGGGTTGAGGTGGTAGATATCCTCAGACAGCCAGAAAGTCAGGGATGAAGAAATTTCTGTTAAAGAGCCAGGGAGGGGCCGGGGAGATGGCTCAGTGGAATAAGTGCTTCTCTGGCAAGCACAAGGGCCTGAGTTCAATCCCCGGTTCTGCCAAAAAAAAAAAAAAAAGAGCCAAGGAGATAGTTCAGGAGAATAAGCGCTTGCCTGGCAAGTGTAGGGTCCTGAATTCAATCCCCGGTACAGCAATAAATAAATAAATAAATAAAATTAAAACAAAAAAATTCTGCTTAAAAGTATTTCTCCCAGTTAGAGAATGACCTTCGAGAAGGGAGCCTCAGAACGTAACTGAGAAATAATCGACATTCAGAAGATATAATCAATGTAATTTCTCTCTTTGTGCTGCAAGGAAAACTAGTTTTGGCACACCACTGCCTTGCTTTTAGGAACATCATCAGACCACTTCAGCACTGATAGGTTTTTCAGAGGCGCAATAAAGAGATAGGAAAGATAAAAGAAGCCTTTATTAACTCCAAAGACATGAAGAGGACAGACAGCAGATGGGTCAGGTGGATCCTCTGACCTGAGACAAAGGAAGCTGAGGTTTTTAAGGACTTCTACTAGGGGTGGAGTTTGAGGGGATGTTTAGAAATATCTGAGGAGGGGCTGGTGAGATGGCTCAGTGGTCTAAAGCACCTACTTAGAACAAGCTTAGCAAAGCACAGGAACCGCGGTTCAATCCCCCAGCACCACATGCCAGCCAGCCCTGCCCCCTGGTGGGCTGAGCTGGCCACACACACACACACACACACACACACACATAAATAAAATTTTTAAAAAATTTAAAAAAGAAATATCTGAGGAGCTGATTGGGGTCTTCCCTGAGGTGGTGGGAAAGGTGAAAGGAAATTGCACCCTGGACTGGGTTGGAGAAGAGGGGAAGTATTTTAAGGACTTCAGCCATGTTAGATGACCACCATAGTAATTCAGCAACTCATAGTAGGGCCAGAGCCTATCAAACATGACAGTTGGGGGCCATCTTTTATTTTGGTACTGGGGCTTGAACTCAGGACCTTGAGTTTTCCAGGCAGCCCCTATGCCATTGAGCTATCTCCCAGGCCTGGGGGCCATCTTAAAATCCCCAGCAAAAATGCAAAAAGAAAAAAAAAAGGGCCAGAGAGATGGCTCAGTAGAATAAGCGCTTGCCTCGCAAGGGAAAGGTCCTGAGTTCAATCCCTGGTTCTGCCCAAAAAAATGCAAAAAGCTTGTAGCATTGATCAGACCTTGAGAAGGACACTTACAGACAGAGTAAGAGCAGAGACAAGAAGCAAAACATGTGTATTGGTGACTCACTTTTTGCCCCAGGATGCTGAAAGAGCCCACAGTATTAGGATTTAAAAAAAAAAATGTAGCAAGTGGATAAATTTGCAAATAGGGGATCTGCAAATGAGGATCAACTAGAATTAGATTTTTTTTTTTTTTTTTTTTTTTTGAAAAAGCTGCCACATTTGAATGGTTCAGAGATCAGAATACAAGACGGTGTACAGCAGAAAGCCTCCCTTACACTCTGTCCCCAGTTAGTCCATTCACAGCAGGCAGGTCATTTCTCTTTGTCCTTACTTGAGTGATTTTTACTCATGCAAACAATATGGAAATATACTTGCTTTAAAGATAGGACAGTTAGGGGTCCATTGATGGATAAGTCCACCTAGAGGACCAGGAAGTGTTTCCTGCAGCACCTGATCGACCATTCTCCTTGTTTCCTGCACCAGGGGTCACACCTGTTGATGGAGCGCCACATCGACCATACAGTGAGTGCTACCCTGTCCTGCTGGATGGCGTTGTGCTGGGCTGGGTGGACAAGGAGCTCGCCCCTGGCATCGCAGATTCGCTCCGTCGTTTTAAGGTAATCTCCAGCCTTTGCAGTTGACATATCCCTTGACCTTCTCTTTTAGTCTTTTTCTGGTTGATGAGGCAGCCCCATGGCAATCTGAGGGAATCCATGTCAGGGCTGCGTTAAAGCTCATTCCAGAGGTGCCTGTGCTGTGGCAGAATCTTGCCTTATCCATTGGAGTCAGCGGCAGACCTGTTGTGCTCATGCGTTTTTCAGTAGTTCCACTAGAGCGCCAGCAGTTGCTGTGTAGACCACCGCTTACTTTAGGTTTGTGTGTTATTTTCTCTTGCTGTGATTCTGGGCATCATTTCAGAAAGCACATGATGTTGGTTTGTCGTGTGGCGATGTTAACTTTAATCTCTTTAAGGTTCTTTTCTTTCGGTTATTGACTGTACAGTCACTGTTTTTCTCTGTGCTAAGTAATTTGTGGAAAAATGGGCCAAGTGAAAGATCTTTTCCTCCTCTAATTTCTACCCGTTAGTCCACTAGTTCTTTGCTGAGTTCTCACTATTCCATTTATTCTCTCCTGAGTTAATTATTACTGTGGTGGTTGCTAAATGTTTTCTGCTCTGCCATTTCTGCTTGGTGAGGACTCCCCCACTTACTCTTTTGCATCAGCATAGATTTATAGATGCTTGTTTTTAATCTCATCTGTTACTATCTTTATGCAGGGAAGGGTTTGAGACAGGGTCGCACTGTGTGGTCCAGGCTGGCCTTGAACTCGAGATGATTCTTCTGCTTCAGCCTCCAGAGTGCTGGGCTGATGGGTTTGTCGCCATGCCCAGCTGTTGCTATCATTTATACTGATGCTCATATTGTACCAGATTTGGTCAGTGGACTGGTTCCTGCTTTATTTTTATGGCAAATGTGCATAACACAGTTTACCACTTGGCACACTTCAGCGTGAGGCCAAGTGCGTGCTTGCTGCGCAGCCGTTGCCTGCATGTCACCAGATCTTCATCACCTCCTTCCGCAGCTCTGTGCCCGTTGAACAGCGCGTGTACTTTCATCTTGCCTCGCTTCTGCCCGGTGCTCTGCTTCCTGTCTGTGAACTTGACTGTTGTGACTGACTTATTTCCCGCTGCAGTGTCCTCAGGGGTCATCAGGTCGAGCACATGTCATGGCATGTGTGAGAACTGCCAATTCCATCTCCATGGTGCAGCTGTACCTCCGAGTTTCTCTGCTCATCCGTCGCTGACCGTGAGCTGCTTCTAGGTTCTGGCCATCGTGCTGCCATGAACGCTGGATCACAGATGCCTCCTGAGTCCTGCTTTCAGTGCCTTTGGGTTATATATCTACAAGTGGGATGGCTGGATCATACAGGGATCTTGTATTTAATTTTTTTTATACGTTGCAGAAAATCTTTTTCCTAAGCTGTATTAGTATGGTGTGTTACTTCCATGATAATAATGATGAATAAGGAAGCTTACGTTGTGGAGTAGATCCTGCTTGGTCTTAGGTACTTCTTTTTTTCCCATAATTTTGTTGAGAAACAAATAGCAATGAGACAATTTCAAACCAAATTGGTAGGACAGTTTCTATAATTAACACATTGCATACATTCTTCCTAGTGGTTATTTGCTGTACAAGATGCAGACATGATAACACCATTAGAACAAATCCCTGTGTTCATTAATAATTTTTTTTTTAATTTTATTTATTTATTTATTTTTGTGTGTGTGGCCAGCTCAGCCCACCAGGGGGCGGGGCTGGCTGGCATGTGGTGCTGGGGGATTG